TACAAGTAAGCTTGTATATCAAATTCAATGTTTCTGAAAAATAAATATATGCGGTGTTTCATGTTTTTTTGCAAATTGCAAAATCATTGACAAACAATCAAGGTCTAAGAATGTGATCAATATTTGATCTTTTCAAACGAAAAAAAGAAAGAAAATTCTCTCTTAGGCAAACACAGGGAGCCTGTCAAAAAAACGTGTAAAGGAAATACAGAGATCCTCTTACTTCGAAAGGGGTGCATATATTTATGCTGCCTGGTTTTTTTTTCATGAGAGGACATTGACTCATTGTGCCCCCTCCCCTAAATCAGTCGGCGGGGATTATGAACCACATGATGGACAGTTAGATCATGTTGCAATAAAATTGCTGACTAGTCATCTGTTATGTTATAACATATATTTTCCTCTTCTATCGATTCTTGTTTCGCTATATGGAAAATCTATGTTGGGGTCATTACAAATGAAGTCACGTCATAACAAATGAAGTCACGTACAGTCATATTATGAAGGCACAAAGTAGATTATCCTTTTTCTGGAACAAATCTTGAAAATCCGTCGCTGTCAGCGGAATAAAACTAATTTCACAAGTGCAGGTAACATTCCCAAGGAGGTAAACATATTTTTCATCGTTTATCTTTCTTCATCAAAGCAGTTGAATATACATTCCTGCATGCAATAGCGACAGTTTACGAGCGAAGCTAAGTCACGCCATGTTGTTTTCTTCCAAATGAATCTTTATTATGATGAACAATTATATTCCTACTCTTGAAAAGTACATAATTCCAAAAGTGTGATAAGTACAAAAGAAGATGACAAAGATCATGAATACAATAATATTATTGAAATTTGAATTTCTTTTCCGCAGTTTTTTTTCTCGATTCTTCAATACATGATTTATTGGTTGAATTGGCTAAATTTCTTAAAAGATCGTTATTTTCCACGATAGCGTGTAAAGAATATATGTTTGTTCATAAAAACAAACCTCAGAACGTTCTATTTTAAGTCCTTTCTAAGGAACTGGGATAAGGGGTCCGTGTCTCATGGCAAGGCTCCGTGACACCTGACAACTGGCCAATGGTAATCCTCCAGAATAGGGTTACTGATTCCACTAACTCTCAAGAAACAACAATGTAAGCTCAAATAAGAAAAGTAAGGATAGGGAAGGGGTCGTCCAGTGGTGGTATAGTTGCCCAACGGGGGTGTTTCACAATGATACTAAGTTGAACTTATCTCTAAGTTGGACTTAACAATTATGGAAAGCGGTTAGCATCATTGTAAATATTTTGTAAAAATCTTTTCAAAAGGCATACAATTTTGATTCCAATCATTCATATTTTCTTTTATCAAGGAGATTTCATGTTCTTGATGTGGAATTTATGAAAAGTCTAAAATACTTCATTTTTTTTGCTTTTGGAAATATTTAATTTAAGGCTACAAATGGCTCTCCATAATGTTTAGGTTCAACTTAGAGTTAAATTCGTCTAAGGATCTTTGTGAAACACCCCCGAGAGTAGCTGTCGCAGAGTTCGTCATCTAGGGGTAGTTTGTCGGCCGTGGCAGAAATTGTCCTGGCGAAATGGCCATTGGGATAGATGTTCAGGGGGAATTGAAGGGGAAGTTGTCCAGGAGTAGTTGTCCTATAGGAGGCCAGCTGTCTAGGGGTCATAGGTTAAGTTTTCTAAGGATAGTTGCCTGACTAGAATTTAAAAATATCGCTTTACAAATACTCGAATGCATAATAAATGAGCATCATTCAGATTTAACTAAAATTTGTTTCGCTTCTTAAGAAGTCAAGTTATTTTCATAGTAATAACATTTAATTAGGCGCCTTTTCATAAGATACCAATAGCATAAAAAGAACATTAATGAGAGGTGATACATTGAAACATTTTGATTGGCAATGATTTGAGCCGTGCCGCTTTGTTATATGGAGGAGGTGAACCCTGCTGGAAAGAACACACTCATTCACACTCATTCACAGTGTGAATCACACTGTGAATCACAGTGTGCTCCACAGTGTTAAATTGGGGCGTTTTCACATTGTGCTCGATTCGTTTCACACTGTGGTTCACAGTGTGGATAACCAGAAAAGGAAAGAACATACTCATTCACACTTATTCACGGTGTGAATCACACTGTGTTTCACACTGTGTTCACAGTGTGAACTGTGATTTCACACTGTGATTCACACTGTGAATGAGTGTGAATGAGTGCGTTCTTTCCAGCAGGGTTAAAGTGATATACCCTGGAGGGGTGAATTACAATAATGTAGAAGAGACAAAACAAGAGATATTAGGGACTTTTAGATTTGCACGTCGACATAGTGGACTGCTACGTATGACGTCATTTTATGGCACTGCGCCAATGCCTTAAAATGACGTCACACGTAGCAGTCCACTATGTCGACGTGCAAATCTAAAAGTCTGTATTGACAGCTTAGTGACATAAATCTTTTTCCAGGATAATCCCAACTCCCTGCTTTATCTAGGAACCTCCTATATTGTACTGAGGTTACGTAAGTGTAAATAATAGATTTAGATTCATTTGAAACATTATCTGACATTTTCATACGCTTGTCAAAGGTAACACTTAATATGCAAACAGATGGTAAAGGTGAAATGATTGTATGCTCGTCAATCGTAAAAATATACTTGAGTTATGGAAAGTATAGAAAACATATTCTCACAGAATCCAACGAAACTTACACTGAATGGTCAGGATTAAAAATAAATAACATGTGCCAAACAATTTTGGTAGAAAATGTATAGTGTATGGCAGGCGCGTACGCAGGATTTTTTCGAAGGGGGAGGGGGTTAAAATGTGAAATTCGTGAAAAAGGCGATTCCTATATGTGGGACACGAGCAGACGACGCGTGTAATATTATTTTAACACGTTATTTATGTAGCGCTTAATACATCGACGATGTCTCTAAGCGTTTTACAGATAATTATATTAATTTACCCAGGTCGTCGGATTCAGGCTCTCCCACACACACTGTTTGCACATTCTCCACTCCCTGGGGAGCATTCCAGGCGCCATTTTACAGACGCTCACATGGCTGAGCATACTATATACTTTAACGTTCGCATCCTACCGGACTGTACCCATTTAACACCTGGGTTGCAGATGTAAATGTCTTGCCAAAGGACGTTCGTGCCGGACTGGGATATAATTCGATACGACCCCTTCTAAAACGGTAGAAAATGTAATTATCTAAAAATGTACTATGTACAAATATGATAAAATACGGTTTAATATATTCAAAAAATGATTTCTTTGTCATAAAAAGTACAGGCAAATGATGGGTGTATCGTCTTGGCAGGTCTGGGCCCCGTCTGATAAAGATTCGATATTATTCGGAACCTATTTGCGATTGATATCAATCGCAACTATGTACATAAGAGATAGGATGCATGCGATTGATTGATTGATGTAGATCAGCGTTTGTCAACCTTTTTTCAGTCACGGCACCCTTTTCAGAAATAAAAAGTCTCGCGTCGACCCCAGTCCCAAATTCATCCCTTGGCAGAATATTTATTGTGCATCACTCTGAAGCTAAGTTAAGTTAAAGATGTTTTTTGTAATCAACACTAGATAAGATATACAATATAATTTATGCGGGCACCCGCCTCCAAATAAAAATGAATATGAAGGTTATCGGGCATTGTCTAAATGTTACGAGCGAGGGTCAGTTTCAGTTTATTATATTTTCGCACGACACCAAGTTCACCCAAAGGCCGTTCTTTTGCAGGTCCGTGCACGATAAAAAAATAAATATACAATTATAAGATAACACTTATCATAACATACAATATTATAAACAAATAGTGAACATAAGTATAAAGAACAAAAAAAGAAAATGTACAAACCGAGATACAGTCAAACCTGTCTATAGCGACCGCCCTAGGGAAACACGAAAAGTGGTCTTTGTAGACAGGTTAATTTAGTACATGATTCAATGAGAAACCATTGTCAAGGGAAACAACAAATGTGGCCTTTGTAGACAGGTGGTCACTAAAGCAGGTTTGACTGTATTACCATCCAGCCCCCCCCCCCCCCATCAGTAATTATTCTTCCAAACAGCGTTTAATTTAATTGTTTTAGTTATATAAATAAATATTTAAGCGTACGAAATATAAACACTATCTGTTATTCAAAATATTATAAAACTCAAACAATAAAATTGCATTTTATAACATTAGTATTTATACTACCCTTGATTTGAATACAGAGAAAGACATATTTTGTACGTTCGTAGGTAGCGGATTCCAAGATTTAATACCTCTATAACATAGACTTTTATCTTGAAGTTCATGTGTGGTTTAGGCAGTTTTTTAAAGGTTGGAGCGAACATGGCAAAATAGCGGTTTCTAATATTTGGTGTTTCACGAAATTGACGTTATTCCTAAATAATTTGTTGATGCAACTAAATTTCTCTCGCGGAACCCTAGAGATGTCTTGCGGCACCCCGGTCAAAAAACGCTGATTTAGATCAATCGCAACTGTTAATAAAACGGAGGGCCCGATGTGGTGATTTACAGTGCCCTTTTAAAAGGCTTCTACGTAGAGCTAACAAATCAAAGTGCTTCGATCTTTTAGGAGCTGGGGGCTCTGTGCCTCATACTTAAATAGTTCACTAGCTCACCAGGCTGCGAGTTTTGTATTTTACATCCAATTATAAAATTATATAAACCAATTACGCATCAATAACTCAGAAGCATACATCATGCGCTTGCTTACAAAACGTATCCAGGACAAGTGAACAAACACACCACCCTTGCATCTCCGAATCTAACAGAGGAAAAGCAAGAAGATTGAGAATTAATATTGATGTAATATCAATTCTTATAAACCTGATCGTGTTATAAATGTGGGTGCTTATGATCTATAGCGAGTATAGGACCGCCTACCTGTTGTTTATAACATGTCGGTCGCGCATACTACAATCGACTGTCGGTTCAGTAATAGGCCTACCAATTACTTCTCGAGTATGTAAACTTACCTCTGTTTCGCTCTTGAGGAGAAGATACGGTGGAAGTCTGGTCCTAGACATAGACCCAAACTTTCACCTAGACCCAATTCATAGTCCTACGATCCGATGCGCCCATTGTGGCCAATTTTAACTCGTAAAAGCAGTAGGATAGACGAGGAAGTTCCATATAGCCCTGCTATCGTCAATCGTCTTACCCCGGCGTATACTAAAAATCAGTTGAAAAAACACAGATTTGACCGGATTCCCGCACGTAGTTGAATAGAATGGTCCCAGCTCAGTGGGTCTCGATAAAGCTTTAATTGTTGCTCTGAATAGTCAACTCTTTTGTGTTTGCATATCGGGGGAAACGAACCGGGTACAGAACTCCCATCTCACAGAAAGTAAGCCTAACAGAAAGGTTCGTATTTTTTTGGACGACGTGAGTTAAAAATGGATGTCCCTGAGTCATGTATGCAGAGGCTAAATAGATTAGTAAACAATGTAGTCTGGAACTTTTTTTTCGTACGGCACGGGTCGCTATTATAAGCAGAAGGAATAAAGAACGATTGTGCCTTTTGATTGTATTGATGGACTCCTCTCAAATGTACTTCCATTATTTTATTAGGATAGTGCATTCAGTGGGAGCACCGTGATTGGAGGAGGAGGGGGAGGAGGGCGAGCCTGGGAAGTGGGTAATAAATATACTTTTGCCCCTTCTTCTTGAAATGGTAGTGACATTAATTTGATTCTTGAAAGATCAAATCGATAACTTCTTATGATCTATTAATCGATACAAGTTTTGGAAAGATATAAACTATATTCTATCAAGTATAAATCATATTGTCACAGTCATTTTAAAAAAAAAAGAGGGGAAAATATATTCCAACTCATGTTATGGGCAATATTTTAGCTTTGAATATGGGTAAAAGCTCTTTCTCTCTCCATTAAAACTCGGAAAATAATAAATCGGTTAAACAATTTTCGAAAGACAAAACTCAACCCAGCATAAAACATCCCTTGCAGGTGATGACTGGTGGTGAAAGTGGGGACACTATAACAGGGCCACCTCTACCCCAGTCCCCAGGGCCCCAGCCGTAGCTTATTCCGTTATATCTTTATCATTATAATTTTGATCACAACACTTATTTTGCGGTAAAAGTTGATATTCCTCTTACTTTAGATTTCTGGTTCCACCATTGAATCGTACATGGAGAAAGATGCGAAAATAAATTGAAGGATCGGCATAGAAATGCCCTTTTTCATTTAACATCCTCTCTCTCTCTCTCTCTCTCTCTCTCTCTCTCTCTCCTTCCCCCTTCTCCTCGTTCTGAACATTATTCTATTCTCTTTGTATTATTTTGTTTGCAAACGCATTACTGTTCAATGACACAGTCCTGAATTCCCCAAGGATCAACCTTCCACATTCATCATAATGACAAAATATCTTCATGTGCCAGGAAATGCTAATCCTTTTTACAAAGAAAAGGTGGTACCATTGCCTCCGGGGGGAACCTGGGCAGTGTTTCACAAGACCGTACTTATGTTATAATTACAAGTTCGTCGACATCTCCTTGAAACGCGTGTATACAAATTAAGACTCGTCATAATTGGATGATAGGAAGATCTTGTACTTATGACGGTTTTGTGAAAACGATGCCCGGATGATCTCTGTATTTACTATATATTAAGTCTATGGGAATTAGATAATTCCGCCTTCCACCTACTCCAACTAGGGATGATGCTACTCTATTTCGAACGGGTGCGAGGGGGCTGGGCGGGGGAGGGGGTAGGACCAAAGTTTCTAACACTCGGAGACCAAACGTCTTCCATCCACCCCTCTCCCTCCCCCGGAATAGAAAAAAGGTCCTCCGATTGATCTTTTAGCCGACAAAAACATGTTCGAGAAAGAAAAAAGGGAGTCTTAACCATTTTATTCATTTGTATGTGATTCGTCAAAAATAACATTAATCAAAAGGGCCGTCTTGTCGACAAAATGTATATAGAAAGGGTGCATTCCGGATGCTCACAAATATTCGACTCTATGTTTCACCCCCTCTAGCGTTAATCATGTGTGTAACAATGGTTGGTGTAAATACCTTGTTGAACTTTAGCATACCGGGCTATAAATTTGAAATTTATTTAAAAACATTATTGTAAATGCTTCACTTTTTGACGCATCGGTTATGACAAGCTGGCTAAAACATGTAGATAAAAATAAAGATTGATTGACGATGAAGAAATTTAAGATTAGACATACAAGGATTCATTTACCCCCCCCCCCCCCTATCCCCCATATCTAAAATTAATTAAGTCGTAATCACTTTCCACGAAACATAAAGAGCAAAGCGACTGGGCGGCAGGGCCTATACATTTTTTTTTTTTTTTTTTTTTTTTTTTTTTTTAATCCTCGAAAATACCATTTTCCCCAAGACAACATAATTATGGGAGCAGTGCAATCGAACGATAGTTTTGAATTTTGAATGTTCATAACGATTTTCTGTTCACTTCACCTCAAGGCTATATTATTCGAGGCAGAAAAACAACTGAGCTATTAAAGATTATTAAGCAAATAACTACCGTTGGTGAAGGTGATGGGACAAACTATCACTTCCGAGGATGTGGATGTAGCTATCTTTCCGAAGCGAAGCTGAGGAAAGATAGCGTTTACATTCTGATCGACGAGGAAGTGATAGTTTGCCATCGCCTGAAACAACAGGTGATTATTTGCTTTATATTCCACATCTAAAAACTATATAACTACAATAAGAAAAGGACGTGTATGAATCTACATGAAAGACACCAGGCCCAAATTCACACCAAAAAGGTTAAAAGTTTAACCCAACCCCTTGAGGGTACGGTGCGCGCATGTGCCTATTTTAGTGCGCTTTTGGATAATCTTCAGTGAAAGTGCGTTGCCCTTTGTAGATAGTACCTCTATCTTCAGTAAAAGTGCGTTGCCCTTTGTAGATAGTAGTACTATCTACAAAGGGCAACGAACTTTTTGCTTCTCCCATCAATGATGGGCGAACTATCTTTGATCACGTGATTTACTTATGACCAATCGTAGAGCAAGATTCTTAGTATGTGGAATATAATGCATTATAAAACCCTCAAAAACTCATTTATTATGCAATATATTGAGGCACATAGTTATAACCAATGATGTAATCATAATTTATCTTCCTTGTCTCCTTACTCTTTCTTTCCCTTAGGTTTTCTGCCCCTCCTCCGCCCTTTTACGTTTGGGGCCCCTTTAAGTGCCCCCGGGGTAAGTGCCCCTTCTGTCCCTCCCCCATACCTCTTCACAGGACTTGTTGTCGTTTGTCCCTTATCCTCAAGTTACCTTTCAATAATTTATCATTGCGATAGGACTTAATGTACTTGAACAACTTCCTCTGTGGTTTGAATTTCTTTCCACCATCCCATGAAGTTTTTGTATCAATAGAAGTTCAATGAATTTTATCAAGTGCCTCTTCGTACAATAATATGCCCAAGGGGTGTGTTGGATAAATCTTATGAAAATTTTCTTATAATTCGGCCTTCGTTCTTTCAGATCATTCAAAATGTTGTGACATTTTAAGCTCCTCTACATCCTCTTATTTAAAACATACCACTTGTTTGTGTACTAACCCCCCCCCCCCCCACTCTTTACCTTTATGTATCTTTTTATGTCTCTTTCTCTTCTCTCTCTCTCTCTCTCTCTTTCCCTCTTTATCTCTCTCTCTCTCTCTCTGTCGCTCTATCCTTCTCTCTCTCTCTCTCTCCCTCTCTCTCTCTCTGTCTCTCTCTCTCTCTCTCTCTCTCTCTTTCTCTCTTAAACCGAATACAAAATCATACAAGCCAGTGTATACTTACAGGCTCGTTTAGATGAGATAGAGCAAAGTTTATTTATCTTTAAAGAAGAAATCAAGAAATGTTATGTTGTGTTTGCTTTTCAAAGTATCATTTAATGATAATGTCATAAACAACATAAGTATAAAACTTGTAATTGTGATATAATATAATATAATATAATATAAATAAAAGCCAGTAGTTCTCATTCGAAAAAAAAGAAAAATTGATTGGCAATTATGCACAGTGCACACCTTTGTCTTTTGATTTGGAAGCTAAATGTATACCTTTGCAATTTGAAATCAAATCATAAATTAGCACGACATATAAAGCAAAATAAACAACACCAGTTTACACGAATATGAAAGGTGGCATTACGGAGAGCTTGTTCTATTTTCGTTCGTTAATGTACTATTTAGTACGTAAAATTAAGAATTCAAAAATGCGTATAGTTGCTTGATGATGATAAACATGCCATCTTTAATAATGTTATTACTGTAATCTTTATATACACTGTTGCCCATAAAGATGGAATAGTTTCGATACCTCTTTTCAAGAAAAGAATATGAGAGTATGATTTATTCTTTATAAATAAAGCATATATATCTTTGAAGAACTATAATCATCGATCTTAAGAGTTATAGAGGTTGACCAATAAGGCTCTAAAGAGTTAAACTATTAAGAATAAACTATATCTGTAAAGAATAAGCCATAATGTCACAATCATTTCATGAAAAGAGGTAAGAAAATATTATTCAAATGTTATCGACAGCGGTGTTTTTTTCTTCAACAAATGAGGGCGCTCTTTGTGGAATTGAATATCACATTATTGAAGACAGTACTACAAACTCGTCTGTACAACACTTACACCAGGGACGGACGGGTCACATCCGACACGTGCTACGGCGAAAATAAGCCAGTTCGTAAATAACTTCGGAACGCATGACCCCAAAATATCCACCGATCTTTTACAAGATGGATACGTCCCATGCACTTGTGCATTTTAGAATAATCACTGCCGAAGTGATGGAGGTGCTTAATGAATACCTCTTGTTTGCCTCTGAGATAAATGTACCATCGGTGGATAAATGAATACTGATTACATATTACGTTCATGAGCAGATACTATTCGTCTCGATGGGTTTTACAATTTGGGAACAAAATGACCTTTATCTGCCCATGCGCAGATAGTATTTACGAACTGGCTTATTACCACTCCGAGGTCAACACACTACACTACTAGAAACCGAATTCTTAACTTAACCTAACCATAACCATGAACCTAAACCTGGCGGAAAAACCAGATGCAACTCTAATCCCTATAACCCTCACCCTAGATATTACAAAGTAAAGCCAGTCGAACTTGTCACGGGAGTAAATGTTGAAACATGTCACTCCTTCCAAGCAGCGGCTCAGTTGAATAGAAACAAATCATTTGCATTGGTTTGGTAATGTTTATTGAATGGCGATTTATCAACATATTTCATCCTTTCTAAATGAATAGGAGTAGTTATCAAACTCACGCAAAAAAATATATAGTGAAATCCACTCTCGAAGAGTAATTTAAACCACTACTTTGGGATTTATTCCACTAATTTTTGAAAGTGAATTCAACTCTACAATGAAGTGATCCCAACATTATGACTCTTAAAAGAATGTATTTCTACTACTTTGTGTTATTGGAGTATTAATCAGCACATTGATTTCTTAAATAAAAGGTTAAAAAGTCTCAAATTTACAATTAAGAAATCGGACGCGTTTGGAGTAGTAAAAAGCATAAGTTGACCACAGCCTAAAAGATATTACTACCTGATCATCAATGTATAAAGGAGTAGGAACACGCACTGAAACCAACGCAGCAACATAAATTTTGATCTCCTTTTCATTAGTAAACTGTGTTTAAGTTAATGTTTTTGTTGCTGTGCTGTTGCTGTTGTGTAGCAGTTGTTGTTGTTTCTGCTATTTTGGTGGTGGTGGTGACTGTTGTTGTTTTTATGTTTCGAATTGTAATCGAAAAATAAAACGATCAAATGATAGTAATTAATTACTTATCAAAACAATTCACAAATAAAGGAAGGCACAACATGACAGTGAGTAGAAAGTAATACAAAGCTTATGACAAGAATTCAAAATTTATCAAATTTACAAAACTGAAATACTTTATGTATTTTCATATATATCTTTGGCAAGCTAATCAAATCAATAATTTTCTTTGTTTATATATACATGCCTGCGTGTATTGACTATACTATATTATACACTATTATTATATTTCGCAATGCTATAGCAGGAAATAAGATTTGAAAATACGTTTATGCTTTTATTTTAAAAAAAAATGATATTAACACATTAAACGCCCCTAGTAGACCCAAAAAGCGTGAGTCTATGAATAGAAAAATATCAAGAATGGTTTCATAAATATGAAAATATTAAATACAAGATCAGACCTCTTTTTTAAATTATTTTACTTAGATTCAATCGAACCTTTTGTAACATTTAAAAGGAAAGGAAAGGCATTTAATAGGTAAATCCAAATTTGTATCACTACTTTGTGAAAAAGATTTCGAACAAACCACCACTAGATAATTTAACAAATTAATATTCTTCATAACATAATTTAAAATCAAGTAATGAATAATTTTGTTGAAATGATTGAAAAATTTCACACACCACTTTTGGAGTTCTTTGAATCTTTTTTTTTCACTGAAAAGTGTAATTATGAATCTATGAACATGATGAAATACTTTTTGGTAGATTTTACGAATAATTACGACTTTTTTGCCGATATTTCAGCCTTACAAAAGGTTAACATATTATTATAGTGTCTTCGGCCATTACGTTAACATGATAAAGAAAATGTTCCACCAACAGTGGTCAATGTTTTATAAATATATAATTCAAATGTACAATATCTTTACCTTCTCAAAAATACACGACTCTGTATTTGTTATTAGATGTAACACGGATGAGGCCGAAATTTGTGTGTAAAATTACTTCCGTTAATTAGCAACATGATGTGAGTCCATGAGTTTATAAACGTTAAAACGGTTTAATTGACCATTAGGCAAGATTTTGGAGGCAATTATAAAGTTTCTATTACAGCTATATTTATCAATATTACTTTTGAACGGATATGCTCGTATGCAATCAAATAATTCTTTCCATAATAAGCTTTCCATGTCAATTGATTTTTCATTTAGCAGCTTTTTTTGCAGCCCGAGTATATATAGCGTATACTATACTAGCATTGATATTGGAAAGTAAATACATAGAAATTGATGATATGACTTGCAAAGACTTCGTAAACAATACAACAATAATATATTCAATAATTCAGCAATGTATGCATATGTATTATGCCAATAACAGACCATTCATATATACTATGTTGTCCGTAAAGTTAGAATATAATTTGTTTTACCTCTTTTCATGAAGTGACTGCAAATATAGGCATATTTTTATTATTGATAAGGTAAATATTTTCACAGAGCTTCAGTAATCAATCTAAAAAGTCATTAAGATCAAAAAGTGAAGTTCTGAGAGGATATGAATTTATATATAACAAAATAAACCATATTATCACAATCATTTCATGAAAAGAGGTAAAAGATTATTCCAACTTTAAGGGCAACAATGCATATGGTTCCGTTCGAAAATTAAATGGAAGCTCAAAAGCTCCATACAACATCCTTCAAAATGAAGTATTTCGCTGTATTAGTCGACTCCCGCGTACAGCAAGACGTGATAGCAACAACGCAATACAAGATCTTGAAACTATTGTAAAGGCAAGAGGCATTTTTAATATGCAACCCTGGATTTCAAGGATTCATCTCATTTGAGATAAACACTATTATGAAATTATTCGTCGCATATCGCCTCATCTACTCGTTTGTCCTGAAGATCTCGTCGTCTCGATTGCTTGTCCTAAATAGGACCGACTTGATCATCGACCTACAAGACCGACAGCCCATGTACCGACAGTATTGGTCTTGCGGGCCTTCTGAAAAGGTTTCTGAGGGTTCATGATACCGACGCACGGTCTGTGAAACTGACGTGTCTGTTTAGTAGACCTTCTGACAACTTTTTCGAAGGGTCACCAACCAAATGTGTTGCTTTCCTGGGCTGTTGGTCTACTCGGATGTCCCATTCTCGTATAAATCGGACTGCACAAGATCAGGAAAGTCGTCTTCGCGTCTCCTCGTCCCAAGTAATACCTCAATCACATCACAACGTGACCGACTACAGACCGGACGAGAAATTACACTATCCACAATGGTCAGAAATCAGTCGGTTTGGCGGTGTGACAGAAGTATCAGATCAGGGCCCCATTTTACAAAACTTTTCATCTGTAAAAATGACAGTTTTTTTGTTATAAGCTAGTGAAATCCTTGATTCTGATTGATTATCAGCCGATTTGTCACTGGTTGTTGTCATTTGTCGTTGAAAAAAGGGCTTGTGAAACGGGTCCCAGGAATCTTCTCTTCGTAACGTCTTGCTCCAAGGAAATCGATTTGGGGGAGATCCGTGATCTGAAGTTCTTTTTCTTTCGTCTTCTGGTTACGAAAAAGTCCACTTTCATGAAATCACTGATTTTTGTTTCTTCTTGTCTTCACGTGTCAGTGACACAGACCAACACGATGTTTCCATTTAACAAAGCTGTATAATAAAGTATGCAGCTTTCTTTTGCAGCTTTCCTTGCAAATAAGCGTCAAGGATCCAGCTGGATCTGAGTATTGGCTTGCAGGTTTCGTCCGACAGCGACGTTCATTCAGTTGGAACAGATCTGTTTTCCATCTTTCGAATGCATGAACTTACATCTTAAAACCTTGGATATTTGAACGCAACAGGTGAAAGTGCCTTCAAAGAACGGACTCGTTTTCATGGCAAATCTGCATCTGACAGGAAAAGAATCAAATTCTCTTTGATCATACTCGGAGGTGACCTAAAGCTGTCGGTCCTCTGGTTGCTTACTAACAAGCATTTGTGCTTTCTTAGCAGTCAGGTAAAATAACCACCACCACCACATTAACTTGCAAGTTATTTGATTCTAATAGTTATTCGTCTCAGCACAGACCAAGCTTCTTCGTTATCAACTGGTAGCCCCGCAAAACTTTAACCTGGACAAGTGCAATGCACATGGACATGATGGCGAGACCAAACAGCGTGAAGAAGAGACAGGGTATGAACGTATCAGCAGCATAGTGCTTCATGGGCAGAACATCACCGAACCCTATGGTGGTGAGCGTTATAAACATGAAATAAATCCCTGTGCCAAAGTCCCATCCCTCCGCTGAAGCCATCCATGCAGCGCCCCCACACATGTAGATTATCAAAATGGCGACTATGACGAGGAGCGGGACTTCCTCGAGCACGTCCGGCTTATGCTCGCACTGACATTGGTTCGGTGGGCAACCGCAGGACGGTACGCCCGCGCTCGACCCTAGCTCGCACACATCCGAACTCGGTTGCTTGGTCACGCCATGCGGTTGCGACGTCGGTCTATCCGTGGCTATCGATACCGAGCGTGTAATTGCGTGATCATTCGTATTCGCATCTGACGTTTTGTTTGCGTTAGCTCGATCGGCTTCTTTCTCTTTAGATTCATACGCAGGCGGTCTGCCGACGTTTTCCATCGATATCTCCACTTCCCCGTTAATGATTTTCCTCTGAGACGATGTTTCGGGATGACTTTTAGAGGTTCCGCGGCACCTTCGACAGCTAGCGCCGACCTTGTGGCGTACGACAAGACAGTAGTGGGTTGCCCTGCAGGTCTTGAGAGTGAGTCGGGCCAGGAGGTTGCCGATGTTTGCCAAACAGAGCAGAGCCAGTGGTATTCCAACGATGCAGTAGAAGATGCAGAAGATGCGCCCTCCGGTAGTTTCAGGAGCAATGTCTCCGTATCCTGTCACAAAGAGATAAAGAATAATGATTTAATCATGAACATGGCAAATACAAAGTATATGTCATAGTCGAGTGGTTTAAACACTTAAATGGGAAATGAAAGGTCGTGGGTTCGATTCTTAGCACGGCACTTATGTCCACAAGGAAGGTATTTTATCTACACTGCTTCTCTCCACCCACATTGTGAAATGGGTACCCGGTAGGATGCAAAAGTAGTTGCAGTTTAATGCGAACATCTGTAAAATGGGGTCCTGCTGGAATGCTCCCCACGGAGTGGAGAATGTGCATTCATTGTGTGCGGGTAAGCCTGAATCCGATGACTTGGGTAATACTATATCTGTAAGGCGCTTCGGGATACCGTCCATGACTTGTATTAATCGTTATAAAAAAAAATATATTAGGGCCTATGCTAAATGTGCATCTTGTATAATAAGGTGAATTGATTTACATAAGATATGGATGGCCTGTTAACAGAAAAGAGCAAAATGGTCTAATGCTTAAAAAAACATGAGAGGCGATATTATTATTACTAAAAGGACAGGGTAGAAGAAGGATGGTGCGAATTTGAGAGAGATATAGAGCAAACGTAAGCATTAATGAAACGCACGTCTAGTCGCAGTAAATTGGTGAGCCTGTATCAGTGATCAAAATTGATTATTGTGTGTTACACATTTTCTTGCAAAGGATAGTTACATTGTACAACCGTTTTAGAGAGCAATCTCATTCTTAGAGCAGTTTTTACTACAGTCGAGACGCGAGGTTGCCTAAAAGCTCTAATGTAATAATGAAATCTGTATGAACAAAATGGGAAAAAAACGTTAACTAGACCTATCAGACTATCGTATCTATCAGAGCCATCTAGACACCCAATTCGGCCAACTTAGTTTCATTTGGTCACAACATGGCGTATATTCTTATGTTTTGTAGTTGCCCAACAAAGTAGTATTCGCCATTATTGTACCCAACTCGAACCGGTTTGCCCAAACTCTCCTAATCAATGGCTCTGGTTTTTATCTGATTACGGCTCCCTCTATTGGTCATTAAAAACTGTATAATTTTACCTGCCGTAACGAAAATGCAATAGATCAACCACCAACACCCATGGATAATTCCAACTTTCCAGTAGAGTCAGTCAGCGTCATGCATAAATTTCCAGATAACCTTCTTATGAGAAATTTAGACTTGATTTCCTAGGAATATGAAGTCATGCACTATTTCCAATAAACCCTAAATTAGTACTGTAGTTGATGTTGGCATCTCTACATCTGATATCCAGAATTTTCCAAATTAAAGGAAAACTGTTGGGGCAAGCGAACTGTGACATCATTAATTGGAATCGGAATTTAATGAAAGCAATCTGTCTATTGTAATTAACTTGAACGTTAACTTACATCGGTGACTACAATTAGGTTGAGCGGCGTGGCCAATTTTTTTTTAGGGATAGGTAGTTAATGGGTTTATAGTGACAGAGCGTTCAACATGAGCTAAACAAGTTCATGATAATAATTATATTGCTCTTGCAGGGACCTTAGCCACAGTGCAAAATCGCATTCTGAAATTCTGGAAACTGGCATTGGAGTGCATTACAGAGCTGATAAAGTGTTAATGTAAGCGCTAATTGATCATATCCTATTTTTGGCATTTGTTCATAATTGTTGTGATAGAAAGAGCTTCCAAGAGCTCCTGTTCGCAGCAAGGTTAACACAAGGCTTGGTTTTAGCTTGGTCTAATTCAGGGACACACCTGACAACTGGACACCAGACACGCGGTCGACGTTCTCTTGTTCAAGTCGACTTCAGATCAATTTCAAAGAGAAATCAAACCCTTGTAATAATGTCATTTATAAATTATGAAGGCAGAAAGATAAGATGAACATAATGGTGAAAGTGTGAAATAAATCAGACCAATAATAAGAAAGTTATGAATGTTTGAAATATGATATGACTATATCTATGTGAATCTTAAATTGGTCAGGGGAATGAGGCGGAGTCGCGGATAACTCTACCGTTTCTCGTGTACAACAATGGCATTAATCTCCCATGAGGTACTATATATTAATGAGAGCATACTATAATAGCTTTTCTAAAGGGAAACGCTAGAGTAGTTTGCTATCAAAAATGGTGGATCCGGTATCAGACTACATGTATTATCTGCGTGGAACATGTCCTTTTTTTTTTAATTGTGTAATGTACAAGTTTACATCTGACATCATTGTCGTGAAACAGTGTATCATATTGGGCATAATTACGGTAAAGTGCACAAATTAATCTTGTCAGATTAATCCCGTCCATCGACGCATCAGTCACGGGGATATTCATACGGTGACAGCTTGATACAACCAGCGTCACACTGCGTGTGCTGAAGAAGCGTTGATCTGTTACACAAGTTTAACGATCTTTTTTTGCAATCTCTCTTTCTCTTTCTCTTTCTCTCTCTTTCTCTCTCTCTCTCTCTCTCTCTCTCTCTCTCTCTTCCTTGATCTACCTGTCTATCTATTTATCTTTTTCTCAATTTATTTTTATTTTTATATTTCCTAAAGTTTGATTATATTTTCTCTCTTTCTCTCCCTAATTGCAAATTGTTGTATTCTAGTCGCGATAAACGCGTCGCTGGTAACCTACATGATTGTATGTATCTGTGCAAAGTACACCTGCAAATGTTATATAAAATAAACCACATTAAGAAAAACGTGGGTAATAAACGATATAACTATAACATGATCATTACGGAGAATAAACATGAATTCGATAAAAAATTGTTTATGACATGGTAATCATGTTTGTTCGTGCAATAAATTATGGAATGCCAAAAAAGTATGTTCATCATAAATCAAATCGACGAGTGTGTAAATAGAGACAAGACTAAACATGTCTTATGATACTTACTTCTAGTTCCTCATTTACAATGTTTACTCCTTTGAAAATATATATAGAGAGAGGTTTTATTACTTCGAACAGTCATATAAAAAGAAAATCGGAATGCCGTTACCAAAGAAACTGGAATTTCCCTTTAAGATACAGATTGGTCTGGCATGTCTTCCGCTATGTACATGCCCTCGGGAACGTTTCCTGAATCACTAAGGCAGGCAACATGTTTACTTGAATGTGCTCTGAGAAAACATAACGGCTTATAAAAGCAGTGTAGGAATCATGATAGCAATTATTAGGATTATATATGTTGTTAAAGCGAGCTTTGACAGCACCACCCCCCCCCCCCTGTTAAGAAGGTGTCTGTCGTTCTCAAACAGTTTTAAAGGCAGAATAGTGTCATTAGGCTGCAAGCCCATTAGACTGAAAATGTTGGTCTATCCTTCTGAAAAATTTTGTTTAAGGTTCACTGGACCGACACTGTCGGTCTCGTTGATTGTCGGTCTACTGGGATGCCCCGATGTCATGACCTCTCAGTCACCTCCAAACTATTCCTGTAGCCGACCGATTCGTGGTAATAGGAGGTAATGAACTTGCTTGGAGGGTCTGTTATCGGTCTGGTGTCGGTCTCGTTGGTATAACTAGGGCCATTTAATGTTCACAACGCCAAACCGACTTCAAACTGAGTTCACGTGTATTGAGAGAACTTGCCATTGTTTGATCATTGTTGTCGGCGCGGAGTGCGTAGATGTGACCGGGTTATCAATCACACCGCCAAACCCACTCGATAACGACCAATTATTGGCCATTAGGGGTAATGGAGTTTTGAAATGGGTCGATTATCGATCTGTCGGCCTCGTAGGTGTGACTCTGTCATTAATCAATTCTGATGTCTGGATGACATGTTCACCAAAATGTGTTTGTTTCATCGAAGGCAGAGGTGTTTTGTCGCCGTTATAGAAAAAGACCTCATTTTTTCCCACAATAAAAAGAAAACCTTTCTGTATGTAGAGATTCGCTATACTATGTGGATATCGAATGAAACGAATTAAAACAATAATGGATAGAAGAATGAATGCATTGATGAATAAATGAATGGATGAATAAATGAAATGAAATGAATGTATGACGAATGAATGAATGAATGAAAAAATAATCAGGAGATTGTTATCGTTAATCTATTTCTGTTCAGTGCTCTCTCTCTGCTATGCAAAGTGTATTCGTTCACGATCTGTGTTTAAATGATTTCGTTTTTTCTTATATTTATATTGAATAACTGTATATATTAACTATTTATCACTCATGTTTGAATGAGTGTTAGCGGGAATCCTTAAAGGTAATGCAAAGTTTTGGGAAATTTCGAAAATTGGATTGATAGTAATTCCCTGTGGATGTATTATAAGCACGAGCAAATTGAGGTCCTAAAACACTTCTGCTTTCGAGAAATTGAATAATAACAAATTTACCGGTGCTCTCGGTAAATTTCAAATATTTCAAATAGCGACTAAGGCCATTCCATGGTACATGTAGCTGCTGCGACCATGAATATTCTCAGAATATGCAGCTCTGATATATAATTTCCAAACGGGAATAGCAAATCGGTCGATTGTAGTTAAAAACACATTGATTTAATTAATTCCTTGAAATGCAAGAGCGCTGTAATGAAAGCTAGGCTAAAGCCATGTAATATTAAGGCGCCTCGGAATAGAATTTCTAGATGGACGGCGCTATAGAAATACATATAATAATTATTATTATAAGGGCGCTATACACAACATAAGGAGTTTATTATTTACAATTTCAACACTTTAGACTCGATTCAACCGCGACAACGATCATTGAATATTGTAAAATATCATATGCTTCTAAAAATCTTCATTTGAACCAAATGCATGACCCCGTACCAAAACTTTGTAGTACCTTCAAGAATCTTCCATAAAATATAGTTTTAAAACTGAAGTAAAACAAAACAAAAAGCTTATCATGAATACGCGTATAAGGTACGTTTGGCACATTGTGCTATTATTGATTATTCCTTTTTAATTGTGCGGTGCTAAACATGCAATAATATTATGCCTGGTATATTTCATCACACTCTGAGCAATGATAAATGTCCCATGAAATTAAATAACAG